GCGGCTTAATGGGCCTGGGCCTGCAGAGAAGGGGAGCCCGTCAGGCCCGGGCCCTGCGAGCCGACGCCCCGTGGGGAAGGGGGAGCAAGTCAAGGTCACAAAGCCCTGGGATGCCAGAGCAGGGTCAGAACCGCCCCGGGCGTTCACTTAGGCACTTCTTCAAGCAAGGTAACCAGAGCACCTACTGTGCCCATGGCACTGTGGTTCACGCTCTGGGGTTGGGGGGGGGAGGGCGAAGCAGCCCCAAGGCTGCGGCCCAGGGATGTTGCCAGAGGCGAGAGGGTGCATCCTGACAAAGAATAGAAACCCGCCTGGAGAGCAGAGGGAAGTGAATACATTTGCTTTAAAAGGGCTTGTGCATTCAGGGGGCACCAGTGCAGGTGATTTGGGGTGGGGCGGGGCTCTGTCACTCTCCTGACAGAGGGGAAAGAGGTGCTGGCTGTCGCATCTCCCCCTGGCCTGTATCTAAACCAGAGACACCCCCCCCCCCACACACACACACAGCTTTCTCCCATCTGGTGGTCACAGGCAGCCCCGCGGGGAAGGCCGGGGTCATCTACTTTGTACCCACACGGTCCAGCAGGGAAGCCTGCATTTACCGAAACCCACCCCGGGAACTGGACTGGCCAGTAGGAAACACCACGCGCGTAAGAATTTAAGGGATGCGTCGAATGGCCTTGCCGCCCGGCAGGTTACACGTATACAAACAGCGAGTGCATCGTGCAGCCCTAAAGCCTGGCCCGGGGCTCGCGGCAGATGGTCGGAGTAAGATCGCCACTTTCAAGAGAAAAGGCTGAGGCCCGGGGAAGTTACAATGACCCCAGCTAACATAAGGCCATCACAGTACCTTTGCGTGGTACCAAAACGGTGCCCCTGGGGGGCGGCTGTGGCCCCGTGGGAGCAGGCTCCTGAGCAGATAGCCTGTGCAGAGGAGGTCCCCTTCCCTCTGGGCAGAAGCAGAAGCAGAAGAGAGCCCGGGGTGCACGGGGTATGGACAAAAGCATGTACTGGACTTCGGCCTGCTTGGTCAGGCGTCCTGTGCGACGCGAGGAGGCCACCCTGAGCTCTAAGAGAAAGTGTCCAGGCCACATACAGCCGAGGCAGAGAGACCGGCGGGGGCTGCAGTCAGGCAGAAGTGTCATTCAGCCCCAGCTCCGTGACACGACCCACTGGCACCGCAGCCGTGGGGAACTCACTCTATCGTTTCTCTGTGGACTAAGGCTAATAATACCCACCTCGCCAGGGTTGGCAAAGATTTAAAAGTAGATAGCAGTTCTTATTTTCCCAGCGCCTCAAGAACAGAAGATAAAGAATCCCCAGAGCCCTGGATGTCTTCCTTCCTTCCTCACTTGGAGACAGGTCTTAGCTATTTGTTTCCTGCCTACATGTAATTACAGTGCGAGGGCCTCACTCTCCAGGCCTGCTTTAGTGAAGGAGGAAGGAAGTCACTCAGGCCTTTTCACCGCAGCTCCCTGCTCGGAGACGCCAGCTGGGAATCTGACTAATCTGTGACTGCAGCCAACAACCCCCCGGCATGTTCCAGATCAAGGTACTGCACAGGCCATTCGGGACGGCTCTTGTGGCCACCAACCCACCACTGTTCTCAGGCCCGCCTTCCGGGACACCAGTCCTCTCCCACCTCTCCCACGGCCCTGTGAGTTTATGGCCAGGGAGAACGAGAGTCCCCTCCACCCACGCTGCAGAGCACCCCAGGGCCACTCCAGCCCTCGGATGTTCCCACCGTGAGCTGGGCCATGAGAACGTCCACAGCGTGTGTCCCTCTCTGCAGGGTCTGCGCGGAGTGCCGCATCGGAGAGCACTTGGCGAAAGTCTTGACAGAGCTGGGAACCCATCAGATGATGAAACTGCTTCGTGGCTCAACTCGGTGACACGGCGTATCCAGAGAGGACCGCTGGCTTTATCCAGAGACGTCCTGGACAGTAGCCATTTCCATTGAGTTAAGGAAAAGAGACACAACTCCTTGCAAGACTGGCTCTGCTCTATGACCTTGAACAAGTTCCTTCACACTCTGCAGCAGACCTTCTCCCCTACAATGGGGCAGTAGGAATATGTAACTCTCGAGGGCCCTTTTGGAGCTGACAGTCCCGGATGCTGCGATTCCGGGAGTTACAAAGGACCCTTGCCTAATCGGTGGTATGGATCAAAAGAGAAGATTATTTGTGAACATTGAGCTGCAGGAAAGGAGAAACGCCCTCCCCGGGTTGATGGCTGCAGGATTCATCTGGCTTCATCAGAAAAAGACCATAAAGCTGTTTTGCAAAACAGGTTGATTTCAATGAAGCATCTTGTGGATTGATAGACTCCTGGTCAGCGCAAGAAGAGTTTGGATCCTTGACAAGAAATGGTCTTTATTATTTAAAGTATCAACAGGGCAGAAAGATTCCAGTTAAGGTCCATGTGCACTAGGAGAGGTTATTTTAGCTAAGATGTAAGAGATTTACAGCTTTATTCCTCCCGGGCCCACCCAGTACCTGGCCACCATGTGCCAGACCCTGTGCCGAGGACAAAGAAACGACATACCTCTTCCCCCGCAGACTGGGTCTGCCAAAGGGACAGTCATAAAGAGGATAGTAGTTTACCACACGCCGTAGTTCCGCGGGGATCCACAGGCATGTCGAGCCCGAAGGTGGCTTGAGCAAGAATTAGCATCTCCATCTTACAAAATGGTAACCGAGGCTCAGAGAGGTGCATTCATTTGTCCGAGGCCACGCAGCCAGGGAGAGGAAGAGAAGTTTGCAAATTCTGATCTTCTGACTCGTAGGCCAGAGCTCCTTCTATCCACTTCCGTGCCTGTCTGCACCGGAGGACCCAAACCTGAGAGGTTATCATCCCTCAGGGACCCCTGCACGGAGTAGGTAGGTGCTCCACGAGGATTTGTTGGCCAACTGGGTTCTTGGCTCCACTACTCTAGACAAAGGCTTGATTGCTTCTTGTAAGCCCTTAATTTACTTCTCTCCAGTTCTTTCATACCGACTGTTTGTTATAGGATTGTGGCTTCTGCAAATGGAAAATCCTAAAAGACGTTGCTCCTGCAATCTCCTTAAGCCTGCTGGTATTCCAAGCACAAACCTCAAAACATGCTGCTAATTTCCTCCAAAAAATCGTAAGCATGTCTCTCCATCGCAACGGCAGGAAGACATAGCAGAGCCTTGGAATTAGGCAGCACTGGGTTCCTGTCACCGGGTCTCTCTGGGCAAATATTGGCCTATTTCAGCCCAAGGGGTCCAATCTATGAAATGGAGTTCAAGCTCCCCTTGAAAAGATGTTGGACTGGCCAGATGAAATTCATCAGAGCCTCTGCCACGCCATGGGCTTTTTAATGACGTGAGTGGCCTTCTCTACCCCAAACTCCTTCCACGACTGGGCTTAAGCAAGTCCATGTCCCATTTTCTTCTCCGTAAGAGTTTTTCCCTCATCACACTCTCTGGCCCACTGGTATTTCAGATCGACCTGAACTGATGACCAGAATTGGACCATCTGAATTAATGATGGCGAATTCAGAGCCTCCCGGATTATTCGGTCATCCTCCTGGACTCAGTCCGTTGACTGAGTGGCAAAGGTCCCTGCCAGCAACAGCATTTAGAGCAGGACAAGTGTGTACCCTTGGCCCAAAAAAACACTTCGTAATGAAGAATGGCTTCTCTTCATGGCTTCAGCTCTGACGACACAACCATAGGGACTTGGGGGACCCTTTTCATTGAGAAAGCACTAGGCTCTGTGCAATCAGAATCATCTTATCGGCCAGGCTCCATAGCTCCAGGATCCAGCTTGTGAGCTTTTTAAAGGGTCCCACAAAAAAAATTTGAGAGCTGACAAAAAAAAAAAAAAACCAAAAACTGGTTCTGAAACACAAAACAAAAACAGCAAAGTCAAAATAGGTAAATGTTTAATTAATTGTCTTAAAAAGCTAACACTATGTCCCACGCCACTTCGTAATTGTTAAATTTATTACTTGTGAGCATTTCATTGCATTAGAAAACAGTGTGGAGGTTATATATTTGCACGTGGCATGAATTTCCAAATAGATTGAGAAGGAAAAAAAAAAAGAAAAGAAAAGAAAAAGACCTTATGGTAAATTAATCAAGTTACCCATAGCTAAATAATTTTAAAAGCAAAACTGCAGAGTTCTTTTGAACTTTTTATAGCAAAATAACAAAAACCCCATAATACATAATATGGAACGAAGGAGTCCCGTCACATATGACAGGATGTGGGGCGGGGTCTCCGAGAGTGAGAGAACCAGGGTCTCCGGAGGACTTTCAAGGGTCCAGATCATCGTCTGCAAAGTCCCTATTACTTTCACCAAGAGGTAGGCACCCACCTAGACTGCCCAGACAGTGGTAAAGACTTTCAGATATTTGCTCACTCAAGAACTGGGTGCCATTTTCAAATGCCGGGCCACCCTTTTTCCCAGTTCCTTCTGCCGAGCATTCCTTCCGCTAATCAAACCCCGGTCATCCAGCTCTGAGGGAATGTTTACTCAGTACACACCATTCTAGAGTCAAAGGCTGAAGGCCACGCTAAAGTTAAAACATTAAAAAGGAAGTCTTACCTTTTGGGTCAGTGTTACAATTTTCTGGGTGTGGAATGTGACCCCTGGGGGGTTGTAATCACAGTAAGTGGCGACGTGGAGGAGAAGACAGCCCTCTGGGATTGAAGCAGAATATTTAGATCTGTTCCCCAGTCCACGAGGTGCTGACACTGCAGAAATTCTTTATTCCCTTCTAGACTTCAGTTTCCATGGCTGTAAAACGGGGGTGATGATCCCCACCGGGAAATTGTGAGCGGCGAACAAAGTGGCTTTTGAAACCCGAGAAGCGCTATACGGGGTCAGACGGTTGTGCACCATGTAGCCAAGATTTTTTTTTTTTTTTTTTTTTTTTTTTTTTTTTTTTTTTTTTTTTTTTTACTTTAGTGCAACAATAAAGGACTCCCAGCTGAAATAATTGTAGCTTCATTGACCATCTTAACAGTTCGTACTGAGATTTAATTGTGAGAAGTTCTATTCCCCAACGATGGCCACATCAGCACGTCTCCTTCCCGGATGCTCTCCCTGCCATGGGATGGTCACATTCCTCCACTGAGAGGCGGTGTCCAGGCTCCCTCTACTCAAACCTGAGTGGCCCGGCCAGGTGCTCAATAGTCCTAAATGATAGGATAATCGTTTTATTCATTTATTTTTTTTAATTCATTTTGCTTATCTGCATTTATAAAATTTCCATAGCAAACATACCACTTCCCTCAAAATAAGTCATTTTTCAAAATGCCCCTCATATCCCCACCCTCTCAAAGCATCAGCAGGCATTGGCTGATATCTGACTCTCCATAATTCACCAAAATAACTGCTCGCCCCCAAATCCTGACAAGCTTATACCGGTGGACAGACTCCAGAAACCACCGAGGTCCTCGGCTGGGCAACACGAGTGAATCCAATGCTCGGATTCACCCATAGTTAGACCTACCAGCCCAACTGCCCCAAGAGTGGAGGAAGTTTTCCCGAGGCCCGAAGCATCAAGGTTTTTTTAACCAGGAGAAAGTGAAGCTTTTCATTCATTCATTCATTCATTCATTCATTCTTCGAATATTGGTGAAGCCCTGTGTGTGCCCGGCATGGGATACCTCTGAGAGCTGATGGAGGAAGGGCTCTGCCTACAGGCAGTGAAAAATACAAATGAAGCCGTGATCTGAATGTGGCATAAACGCCACGAGAGGGGTCACCTGAGGCGGTAAGTGGACGGAGCAGGTGCACTGGCCCAGAGGGGGAGATGCAGGAGGGCCGCCCGGATAACGGATGTAGTGATGGGGATTTAAGGAGTGTCAGCGTCAGAGGGCAGAATGCAGTGTGCTATAGCACACACGTTTATTCCTCCCTGAAGCCTTAGGTTGAAACCCTAACCCCCAGTGTGACGGGACTAGGAGATGTGGGCTTTGGGAGGTAATTAGGTCACGAGGGTGGAGCCTCAGAGAGGTCCCTTCTCTTCTTTTCTGCCCTGTGAGGACACATGAAGAAGACAGGCCATCTGTGGACCAGGAAGCTGGCTCTCACCAGACACCGAATCTGCCAGTGCCTCGATCTTGGGGGTCCCAGTCTCTAGAGCCGTGAAGGATAAATGTCTGTTGCTTAAGCGCCCTCCCAACCCCCACCAAGTCTATGGTAGTTTTATTGTAGCGGCCAGAACCGACTGAGACAGAAATCAAATGAGACCATTCTTGTGAGCGCACTTTGCAAGATGGAAATACGGGATGTGGTGGCCAGCCCCTGGCCACCCAGCCTCTGGCTGCTTCTGTACTCCAGCCGGGACTCTGATAGGGCATGAGGCTTCTGTTTGCCGCGTTGATGAGCACAGAAAACCTTGGACCGTGACACCGACACAGGTCTTTGGCTGCCATAGTCTCTCGTACTTTTATCTACCGTTCACTAAACAGGCAGGGCAGGAACAGCCTTTCTCTCTCCGAGGCCAGTGGCCAAGGTCCGAGATGCTGCTGGGGACACATCTCCCCTGCCAGCCTGGCCCGACCATGCTGCCGGCCAGGTGGGGCTTGTGAGACAAGTGCCCTTAATTTGTCCTGACGTCCAGCCAGAGAGAGAGCCAATCTTCCAGGGAGCACGGAGAGCTCATGTCCTCCCATTATCCACTGGAACTGAGGGTGGAGGCTGGAGCCCCACCCCTCTCCTGCAGCCGTCGCCCTGGGCGGGTGGCTGGGGACCCTGGCCTCAGCCACTCAGTCCGTATGTGTCCTTCTGTGTCACCGTCCAACATCACTAAGAGGCTCTTTCTAACAGAAAAGCCCTGCCATCCCCCCTGGGGGTCCTTCAGTGCCTCCCCTTGGTCCCTAGACCAGGAAGCCCAAGCTTGTCAGCCAGGCCCTCCGTCTCCTGCTCCTCTCCAGCAGCCTGGTCCCTGCCATTTGTTCCCCCCAGAGCCAATTCTGACCATTTGTTCCAGCCAGGCCCCAAATGGGACCCCATACCTTCTCCTTTGTATGACTCCTGCCAATCTTTTAAATCTTTGTTAAAGTGTCACTTCCTCCAAGAAGCTGACCCGGAACTGCCAGCCTCCTGCCCCTGTTGAGATCCCACAGATATGTATCATTTATTAATCTTGCTGCCTCGACGTGGCAAGACAGCGTTCTCCCACCTTCTGCCCTGCTTTTCCCCACCACGCCCCGGGGGCACCTGGGGAGTCTTAGGTGAAATGGAGACTGCAGCTTGTCAGCAGAAGTCTCATGAAACAAGACGGGCCAACATCGGCAAGGGGGGTTTCGTTCATCATGTAGACATTTAACTCCGAAGGCCCTGCAAGGGCCCCCAGGTGCCGGCAGGAGCTGGGATCAGACCCTGATGGTCCCTGTGATGCTCTTGCTGAGGGAGCCCAGTCGCCCCCCTCCACCCAGGGCAGGGCAGAAGGTGGAGGAAGCCCAGGAAGGAATCTTATGCACACACTAACTCTCCCGAAGACACAGAGCCTGGCTTTTAGAAAGTACCCCACTCCCCACAAAAGGGCCCCAGGAAAACCAGAGGTTCCTCCAAATTCTGGTACTGTCACCAAAAAACTCTGGGAAATAATTATTTGAATGAAATTTACCCCATTTCTTTTCCTCAGACTCTTTCAAGTCCTCAGGAGAATGGCGGCATTGCAAATCTCCAAGAGGGAAATTAAGTGTGAAAAGTAATTATGTTCATCTGGCCACAGTGTCTGATTTGGGGGAACACTTCTTCTTTGGGGGGGAACACCTCTTGATGAACCCCAGAATCAGTGTTTCACGGAACACAATTCAGAAAATGCTGCCCTAAAGATATTTATGAAGTTAAGAGTTCCCGAAGGAGCCTATCTCCCAATATCTAGATCTTTTAGAGAATTTTATTGATATTATTTCTTAATATATCATAAAGAGCCTGCTTTTGAGGCAGCCGTGTTTCTTGTTGATGACGCACACCATGTATATGAGTGTTTCCCTCATTACCGTGGTTACCAGGAAGCTCAGAATTGCGTCCTGGCCCACATCCAGCTACTGCCCAGACCTCTAGAGGGACAAATTTGTCTTCTTACCTTTATTCTGTTACTGTCTTGTCTCTTCTATTTTTCTTTTCTCTTAGCCATGATTCCTTCATGTATTCATTGTAAACCTATTTTACTGGTATGTCAAAACCCTCTCGAAAGAGAGGCTAGGGGTGCATAAATAAACGTAAACAACTGTTGTATTGTTAGCGATAAAGATAAGAGACACAGTTGCATTCCGAAGAAGAGGGGACTGTCCAAGAGACGTTGACTATTAGCTCTTTCCTGACCAGGAAACGAGGACCCAAGACGTGTTTCCTCTTGGCCTTAATCGTCACGTTTAAGTGTTTCTAGTCTCTAAAGTCAGAAGACGTGCCTCCTTCCCTCCCCCCACTCCCTTGAGAGACTGGAACAAAACCACCCTCAAGATCAAATAGATTACATTAATGACACAGAGAAAAGAGGATGGTCTGTGCCCACTCTCTGAGCTCCCCAGACAACAGGCTTTTGTGCTCAGGAGAGAGACGGGGGCCGGGGGGGCAGTTGACAGGCTGCATCCACTGGACAGGGCCTGCTGGACTCGCACTCGTGCCCTCCAAGACTCCGTGAGTTGGGTGGACGGAGGCCCTTTGATTCTTGGCCACTGCCCCCACCACTGAGGAACCCTGCCTGCCCAACACCCAAATAGCCACCCCCAGGGCCTTTCGAGGGCCCAAAGGAGAGGTGGAGTATTCAACAGACCCCACCCTATTCAAATATTCTGCCTCCAGACAAACTCAGGTTATCATCCCTTCTGACAACTTGACTGTGAAGTGACCCACATATGAGAAACACTCTCCCGCAGGCCTGTCTTCCCTGAGCCGGAGCTGGAGATGGTCACCCATAAGGCCCCTTGTCCCCATCTCTGGACGGTAGCCATCTTCTCCCCCTTTAGCGCTTCCCTCATGGATGGTGGCCCAGGAGCAGACCAGTGGCTGCCTGAATCCCCTTGGATTCTCCTGGGAGGCCACGAGCCCCTGGTGAGCTCTCTCTGCTGTTGTGCACACCCCCTCCCCCACACGCTGAAGGACGCTCCTGGGCAGAGACGCAATGGCTATGAAAACAGCCGTATTCATAAAAGCTGGGGAAGGTGCTGCTCAGACCCAGAGGGACAGTGGAAACTGTCCGGATTAGACCTTCCCTCTCGGACTCCATCAGCACAGCCGGTGCCACATCATTACCAATCTCCTTGGCTGTGCGTTCTAGCAGGTATGATGTGCTCCTTGAAGACTGGAACCTCGTGGAATTCACGACTCCATGATTACGCCGGGGCCTGCCTCTGAGTAGGCCTAACAAGTCCAGAGGAAAGGCGGTAAGAAGGGGGGAGAGAGAGTGAGGACTTCAGAGTTTGGGGAGGTCAGACCCTCTATTTTCATGACCTCCTTCACTCTTCACAAAAACCTTAAGGGTTTAGATGTTATCGTTAACCCCGTCTCAGAAAAGAGCACATGAGGCTCAACCGGGAAGTAACTAGTCAAGTTTGGACCAAGTTCCAGCCACTCGCGCGGCCCTGACCCTCCTCCGGCTCCACCCAGGGCTGGCCCAGGAGTTTCAACTTTATCCCAGAGGCAGTGGACCATGAAATCTTTCTGAAAACTTCGGAGTTGACTTTGCAAAGCGGTGTTCAAATTAGAATAGGGATTTTCCACCACGGAATTCTCGGCTTTCCGCAGAAGCTCCGACCACACATCAAAGGCATACTCTTAGAGCAGTTCTATTTGTTGGGCGCGTAAGTCAGAAAAAATCAGAAAACATCTAGAGAGAGAGATTCTTCCCCATTCTTCTCTACACGCAGGTTAGTGTCCTTCTGCGAATCCCAGACTTCATTCCACAGAAGTCCCCAGTTCTCCTGGGAGAAGAGGAAAGGAACTATCGGCCTGTCGGCCAGGTCAGCTCACTTCAATACAACAGACAAGGCCTCATTAGGCAGCCGTGGGCACCAAGGGGACCCCGAGGCCACAGACCCCATCCCTGGCCCACTGGGCACTAGCATCCAGACGGGAAGTTGGAGTAGAAATAAAGCGTTCCCAGGATCACCACGTGCAAGGAGAGGTTTATGTGAGGCCTGTGAAAGTTTGACCGACCCTCGGTTGTAAAAACTGCAAA